CAGCCATGAGGGTGGTGTCATCTGCATACCTGAGGTTATTGATATTTCGCCCGGCAATCTTGATTCCAGCTTGTGCTTCCTCCAGCCCAGCATTTCTCATGATGTACTCTGCATATAAGTTAAATAAGCAGGGTGACAATATACATCCTTGACGTACTCCTTTTGCTATTTAGAACCAGTCTGTTGCTCCATGTCCAGTTCTAACTGTTGCTTCCTGACCTGCATACAGGTTTCTCAAGAGGCAGGTCAGGTGGTCTGGTATTCCCATCTCTTTCAGAATTCATAGGGGGATTTTAATTTGCAATTTTCTTTTAGTGTCTATCTGGCTCTAATATCAGGGTAATTATGGCCTCATAGAATGAGTTAGGAAATGTTCCTTCCTCTTCCATTTTTTTGGGGTAAGAGATTAAGAACTGATGTCAATTATCTTTAGATATTTGGTAGAACTCACCTGTGAAGACATGTGCTCCTGGACTTTTCTTAGTCTATGCCAGTCAGGGGTGAAGCTCTAGTGCTAAAGAAAACAATTCCTCCTGCAAGGTATTTTCTCAAGAGAGCCAAAGCCCACAAAAGAATTTTCCCAGGAACCCCTACCAATACATTTAGTTCAGTCTTTTGCTTCACTGTTTAAATTACTTCTGGTTATTTAAAAATAAATTACACCTGCAAGAGTGAAAAATATATGAATTCCTATTGCAAGGGCAAAGATTCACAAGATAGCATGAGGAACTACTTTCAGGATTGATCATCAGAGTAATTCCAAAGTGACATTTTGAGGGAGATAGCAATTTAAAAGTAAGCTGCAGTGTGTAATTAGATTCATTACTTCATTACGTATGCATACATTATGTGAATGGTGTGCTTCAGGTCACAAAGGCTGGGTTAGAGCATATCAAGTCACAAGTACACAACTTGCTTTATTATCCACTTGAAAATCTTGAGGTCTGTTTAAAAAACACATGTGTTATATTGCTCTTTATAGAAACTGGGAGTTAAAAATCAAAGGTAAAAGCTTGTTCTCAGAATTGGACGGTCTGGGATAACTCTATAGTTATTATGGCTAATCAGGCATATTAAAATCAGATTAGATAAACCCAAGAATTAAACTTCCTGGTTCTTCAGGCTTTTCTGAACTCCCAGCTTTCCTTTACCTTGATCCAAGATTTTTGGGGTTTTTTCCCTCCACAATTTTTCTAGGCACTTATCAGTGCCTCATCAGTACTTATAAGTGTATTCAGATGCCCATAAATTAAGAAGACCATAAGAAACCAAAAGAAACTTTGCTTCAACTGCTGCAGCTGGGATATTTTGGCTATAGAGCTCTAGGAAACAGTATTGGTATGAAATAATTGACAGAAAACTAATGAAGAATAATAGTGTCTGCATTTCCTTTTATCCCCAAGGTAGGGTGGAGGAGGGCATGACTTCTAGACCTCCCTATTAATCTCTTTACTCTTTTCATCTTTGGCCATGGAAAAATCTGCTTCTTGATCTTAGATTGGCCACCCAAATCTGTGTAGCATTCATTAATGTGATCTCCTCAAATACAGCTGCAACCCATTTTCTTTGAATTTTTCTTCGTCTGCTACATTTGTTAAAATTAGACTGTAAGTCCCTTGAGGCAGAGATCTTTTTATTCCACATATAATTCTTTTGGCCATGTGTTAATATCGAAATTTAAAACACCTACCCTTATTTATAAAATCAATTTTCATGTTTAAACTGCTAAAGGAATCATGAAAGGGGAAGAAAGGATGTGTCCTAAGGACAGGCTACTTGATAAATGTGATCTCATTTCATCTTTCGAAGACCCTGCAATGGAGTTTTGTTCCTATTTGACAGATGAGGCTCAGAAAGAAGTGGTCTGGCTGCAAATGTAAACCAAACTTTGGTTGATGTCAAAAATCTCATGCTCTTTCCCTATACTGTCTTCCTCAGATTTGTACTGGAAACAACTGAGATCTGAATCCAGTCGATCCAGGCCCTTAACTCCTTCATGGTTCCTTAACTCAAATTCTGCAGTTTCAACACTGCAGAAACCAAAGTAAAATAAGTAAAGTTGCTCAGTCATGTCTGACTCTTTGCGACCCCATGGACTGTAGCCTTCCAGGCTCTTCTGTCCATGGGATTTTCCAGGCAAGAGTACTGGAGTGGGGTGCCATTTCCTGCCCCAGGGCATCTTCCCGACCCAGGGACCAAGCTCAATGGTAAAGCAAGTGTAAGTTTATTAAACATGTGCTATTGATGACTTAGCTTTTAACAGCACTTTGAGAAGTGATTAGGACACCAGATTAAATATAAATTTGGCATGGATGCTATAGATTAGGCTGCATCATAGAACAGAGGTGCCCAAGCTTTCTTAATTCAAGGTACTCCTAGGCCAAAAGAAACAGCTACCCATTTTCTTTCATTAAGTAGGTAGGGACTAACAACTTAATAAGTACTTCCATCTTAATATATTACAAAAAGTGTTTAAAAATATACATGTAGATCGAAATAAAGATATCTTTATTTAATTCTAAAATTATAATTATCTGCATCTATTGGGCACTGCTCAACTTCTCAAAGTTTGAAATAAAATCACATTCATTTCTTGTTAAAAGATTGATTTTTCACTTCATACCTGCTTTTTCTCACAGCAACCACCTAAAACCTAGTCTTAGAAAGATATTTTTGTTGTTGTTCTTTAGTCCCTAAGTCATGTTCAATTCTTTATGACCTCATGTACTGTAGCCCACCAGGCTCCTCTGTCTGTGGGATTTTCCCAGGCAAGAATACTGGAGTGGGTTGTCATTTTCTTCTCTAGTGAATCTTCCTGATCCAGGGATCAAATCAGCATCTCCTGCTAGGCAGGTGGATTCTTTACTATTGAGCCACCCGGGGAGCCCACGGTAACATCAAAAAATGTGCACTTTCATGTCGAAACTGTAAACTATTTTGAGCTATTATTCTACACTGTATCTGACAGATTCGCTCTGTTTCCTTCAAAAATTTAAAATATCCCATAGTTCTCACTACAGCACCTTGGGATGCCTAGGGTCAGGCGAGCCTTAAGAAAATCATTTAGCTTCCTTCTTTTTTCTTCCTTCTCTCCCCCCTTTCTTCCCTTCTCTACTTTCTCCCTTCCTACATTTTTTTCCTATGCTTGTTTTATAATGCTAAAGCCTCTTGAAGCTTCATTTGTAACTCTAATTCTTTCTCCATGACATCTTATATTTTACACTGAAATATGCAACCTGGAGTGAAATCAATGGAAAAGCCTATGTTTTGACTGAACGACATATGGAAATCTGATGTTTAGACACATTTCCCCAGCAACAAAGCAAAGTTTTCACCAAAGAATTTTTACATTATCTTATTGACAGTCTCACACTTGGTGCATCAGGCAAGACAGAAAGAAAAAGAGAGAGGGAGAGGGAGGGACGAAGGGAGAGAAAATAAACTTGCATGATACATCTTTTAAAAGTGCATCAAGTACCACGCACATTCTTGGAGCAGGACAACACAGAGGGCAAGGCTGGGCTCCCACAGAACCCAGGCATCACAGGGTCAATCCTAGATACACATCTACCGGCTCAGGTCAAGTTCACATGGAAGATGGAGTCAAGGGAGTAGGAAGAGTATACAGCCCAGGAGCATATAGACTTTGGAGTCAAGCTGAGTTCAGGTTCTGCCTCTACAGCTTAGTGGTTCTGTGTCCCCTGCAAGTTACTTAATCTTGTGGGCTTTAGTGTTTGTTTTCCCTCAGCAAAATGAGAATAACAATACCTATCTCAGGGCTGTGTTTTCAGGAGGAACACTTGTAAAGTCCACATCATTTTGTCTGATGCTTTTAAAGGCTAGATGGTTAATGATTATCAGCATTGTCATTATGATGAAAACAGGACTAGGCATGATGAGAGACAATAGAGATGAGATCAGCTGAAGAAAGGCAAAGGTGCAGCAACAGTGGGGAGAATGGCAAGGTACACGTCAACAAGTGGACACATACAGAATTCTCAGTGACCGCTGACGGGAATGGAGATTGGTACAACCCTTGCAAAGCACCATTTGATGGTGTGCACAAATGCAACACCACTTCTTGATATAAGTTTACACAAATGCATACATATGTGGACCCAAACATACGTTCACAGCATCATTATTCCAACAGCCACAAAATCAGAAACAACTCAAAAGTAGGATGGATAATCACAATGGGGTATATTCATACAATGGAATTGTATTCGGCATGGAAAGTGAATGAACGACTGCCACACACAACCACATGTATGTGTCTCACGTGCAATGCTGAGCAAAAGAAGGCAGACACACAAGACAGCACATGCCATGTGATTCCATTTCCATGAAACTCATGAACATGCAGACCAACCTATGATGTTAGAAATAAGGACTGTAAGCTATGGGGGACAAAGCTAGTGACTGGGAAGGTGCACGGGCAGCCTGCTGTCTCGTGTCAGAGGTGACGCTTTTCTTCTGCCCTGGATAGTGTGACTCTAGGCTTTCGGTGGTATTTCCACGTCTGCAAGGTTTTCATTAAATCAGTACTATGCTGGAACCCACTGTTTATTAATAAAGAAATGACTGCACGTATCTCAAAAAGGAAGCACCGAGCAGGCTCCCTCCGATATTCGGCCAACACTTCCCCCTCCTTCTGCGGATGGAACAGGCTGATCATAAGTGGCTGAGTCACTGCAGGGCTCCCAGAGGGTCAAGAGCAGATCCTTGCATTTTAAATGTGATCTCTTCCTAGAACCACATAGCGGGTTTGGGAGGTATGTACTCAAGTCTTTTACTTTTTTTTAACTCAATGACTGATGACATAATTTGAACTTAGATTCCTTAAAGACACAAAAAAGGCTGAAACATTTTGGGATAAAGCCACAAGCTGAAGAGGGGTGGAGATTTAAAATGAAAACTGTCCTGTAACCACAGGGTGCCTGATGTTCCTGTGACTGTACAATCCAAATAAATTATTTCAATTCTGATAGTTGTGAGACTTGTTCATTACACAAACTGCTTTTATTGTGACAGAAATCACTTCATTTAGTGAACACCAATGACATCAGGTAGAAATAAACAGTTGATGTAAATAGGTCCAAAAAAAAAAAAAAAAATGCCAGAAAAGAGGCAGAGCTTATTTTAGACAAATCCAGTTTTTGAAAGTTTGTGGGTTATTAAAGAAGGGGGTGATTCCTCAGATTTTTCAAAATGTTGCCACGATTCTTTAATTGGCAGGCTCTTCCTGTGCATTCCGAAAGGACTGAAGTTCCAAACACAGGTTTCCATATAAACTTTTCCGTAACACATCTGTTGTGGAAAATAAAAGCTTTGTAATATGGGGCCCCAAACAATGCATAAAGAGAAAGATAGGATTTTAAAATGTTTATTGAAAATGGAAAATTCTTCCTGCATGAGGAAGAGGTAACCAGACCCACCATACAAACAGGTTCTGACTTGAAGACTGGTGATTTAAAGAAAATGCAACCACTTGCAATTTTTTTTTCCTAAAAATAAACCCAAGGGCGCTTAATTGAAAAGATATGCTATGGCAGCCGTTATTAGATTTTAGGTCAAATAACCAGTGGGTTCAACTCAATGTGAGACAGGGAAGCCTCATTAAAGACTGTAGCTGAAGAGCCGTTAGTGAGGCCAGTATAAATCATTGCCCTTTGAAAACTGATGTGGTTGCTCTCCTTTGCTTTGAAGGTTTGAAATAGAAATTTATTCTTCTTCACAGATGCTTCAGCTGGTTGTGTTTTAATTATAGACCTTGACTAAAAGCGCAAGAAGAAGAGCAAACAGAGCCAGGCCCACAGACATCTTCAGTGCAAAGTCCCGGTGCAGTCTTTGCAATCGTAGCACCATTCGGGAACTGGCCGAGTCTCGTTGGGTTGCAGCTGAGGTGTGGGATACTGAATTCAGGTGGTTCCCAAGCCTATTTCTGAATTCCTACGGAGAGAGAAACATAGAGGAAAGCGAAAGTTTTTAAAGACAAAAAAGAAAAAAGCACTGATATTATATCAATTCAGCAAAAGATCCCTAGAAGGAACGAATTTTTTTATTGTGATATAATTGATATATAACATTGTATTAGTTTCAGTTGTACAACATAAGGATTCAATATCTGTATACACTATGAAATGAGCACCACAGTAGATCTTGTTACAGCACAGTTACAAAATTCTTCCCTAGTAATGAGAGCTTTTAAAGATCTATTCTCTAGAACTTCCAAATATACAAGGCAGAATTGTTAACTATAGTTACCATGCTGTACTTACATCCCCGGGATGTATTTCTAACTGTAAGTTTGTATCTTTTGACTCTCTTCACCCATGTCTCCCACCTGCCACGCCCCTGTCTCTGACAACCACTGATTGGTTCTCTGCATCTATACAATCGGTTTTGTTATTTTAGATTCCATGTCTTTCTCTGACGCATTTCACTTAGTATAACGCCCTCAAGGTTCATTCGTGCTGTTGTGAATGCCAAGACTTCCTTCTTTTTTATACCTGAGTAATATTCCATTGCATATATAGGCCACATCTTCATTGTCCATTCATCCATTGATGGACATTTGGGTTGCTTCCATGCCCATGTCTTGGCTACTGTAAAAAACACTGCAATGGACATGGGAATGCAGGTATCTTTCTGAGTTAGTGTTTTTGTTTCCTTTGGGCTAACACTCCAAGTAGAATTGCTGGATCAAACCATAGTCCTATTTTTAATTTGTTGAGGAAATTCCATACTGCTTTTCAGAGTGGCTGCACCAGTCTGCATTTCCACCTACAGTGCACGAGGGTGCCTGTTTCTCCATGTGCTCACCGGCATTTGTTAGCTCTCATCTCTTTTGATAATAGCCATTCTAACAGGTATGAGGGTATATCTCATTGTGTTTTTAATTTACATTTCCCTGATGATTAGTGCTGAAGAGCATCTTTGCACGCACCTGTTGCCCATCTGTATGTCTTCTTTGATAAACTGTCTACAGTATTCAGATCCTCTGCTCATTTTTAAGTTCACTTATCTGTTTTGGTATTGAGCTACATGAGTTCTTTATATGTTTGGGGTATCAACCCCCCCCCCCCATCAGATATCAAAAAAACAGTCTGCAAGTATTTCCTCGCATTCGGTTGGATGCCTTTTCCTTTTGTTGATGGCCTCCTTCGCACTGCAGAAGCGTTCAAGTTTCATGTAAGAAGCAGCTATCACTTACTCCTTCACCAGAGACGCATTCAAACACCCACCACAGTCAGGTGGGCCAAGTCAGGTATAAGCGAGGGTTCCTTTCCTTTAAGGGTCAGACTAAGTTCATAAATTTCCAGGTTATACTCAAACTATATGGGAGAGACAAAGAGTGTTTATGGAGAATCAAGGCAGAATTCCTGAAGGGCAGAACTGATGTGGAGTTGCATCACAAAGGAGCTTAACTTTGCGGGATATGACTGTATCCACTCGGGCAAAGAACAATGACAAAGGAAAAGCCAAGGAAGTAATTCCATTCAGCAAACACACTGGTTGGAGGAGGGCGGCTCCAGACCCTCAGGGGTACCTGAAGGGGTCTGGGTGGCCAGAGGGATCCACCCCACACGCAGCCCTTCCCTTGACCCTGGGGTGCCATGTAACCCTCTGGGTACCACACATGGAAAGACTGGGAAACCCAGCTTGGCGGGGGCACAAGGAGCCAGGAGACCTGGCAGAATTTTGAGGTGGTGTCTGTTCCCTGAGGCATCTCTGCGGGTGTGGGGAGGACGGGGGCCCCTGGCCACTCTCAGGGTGGTTCTAGGGTTTCAAAGTGTAGTTCTGAGTCCACGATGTAAGATTCCACCTGATGCCTGGGCCTTAGAACCAGTGCCTCCCCTGCTGAAACCTGAATAACATTTTGAGAGATGGAGGTGGGGTTGGGGGAAGCAGAATACTGGGTGGAAGGAATGAACCAGGGATGGGGAGGAGGGGGCGACCCAGGGGCAGGACCACGGAAGAACAAGAAATCTACGGACGCACCAAAGGTCTCTGAAGAGCCACTTCCCTTCGCTTATTCTTTCTCTCCACGCTTTCAAACAACCCGCTGGTGATGGCTTCAGCCTCTGCGGGGAATGGCAGCCCCACTGCGCACAGCAGAAGCGCTGCTATGGCGCTTCACAGAGGCGACGCTGGCAGGAAAGCAAGGTGGAGTGAGGGGAGCGCAGAGAATGCGGGTCGGGAATTCAGGCAACGTGTGGCGAGAGATGGGGTGGAAGAGGATGAGGACTGTTAGGATGATGGCGGGAGGCGTGGAAAGGAGGGAACGGCAGACTTCTGAGCTCAGCCGAGCGGGTAATGGAGGGACGAAGTATAGGAAGGGGGAAATGAATAGAACTTTCACAACCCAATTTCTACCAGCAAAGATATCCATGTGAAAGATATGGAAGAATTTTCTTGCTTTGACTGCAGGAGACTAATTGTAAAATTAATACAGCTTTTGATCACAAGGATAAATCTCTCAATCCCAATGGCAGTCACACCGTCATTTCCTTCTGGGCTCTTGGGGACCAGGGCTGACCCCCTGTTGTCCCTGTACCAGGGGGCCCAGACAAGGAGGCTCGCAGCTGGTCAGATGGAGATACCGTTCCCACCGCAGAGACATCTGCACCTTGACACGCCCTGGGAATCACTCTCCTGTAAGATGGGTGTTCTGTGTGGTATTTTGGAGCCAGGAATATGATGACAAGCTTTCATTTCTGATTGGTTTAAAATAGCCCCAAGGTCTCGAGGACAGCACTCATATGGATAATGGCAGCCTTGGGAAAGAACGTGTACTTCTGCAGCTGAAATGACAGAAGCTCTGCAAGTTCCTCAAAAGCAGGGAGGTTGCCTAGTTCATCGCTGGGCTCTTGGAACCTCCACAGCTGCAAACACAGAGCAAGTATGCAGCAAGTGCTCAGAAATGAATGGATGGATGGATGGATGGATATGAGGATGTATTGCAGATGAGATCTAGCTGGTCAAAAACAGGCTCAGCCATGTCTCTGGTGATCAATGGGCATAACTGTACATGAGTCATGAGTTGTTGCCTCTAGCAATTAAAGCATCACTTTCTAAGCTTATAAGACCAGAACTAAGAGGCTGATTAATTTCTCCTAGGCCTGCGTCCTTTGACCTTTTTAAGTCGCAGATGGCTTTGAGAAGTCAGTGAGGACTACAGACTGGTCCCCCAGAAAAATGTGGAGGCGTCTGTGCACATACACACACAGCCTGGCTCACACCTGGCAGATAACTTCAGGAGGTTCAAAGATCCAGATACCGTGGGGCCTGATGCTTTCTCTCAAAAAAAAAATCAATTCAAAATTATGTACAGGTACTTGGAGCAGGCCCCTCAAAGTGTGAGGTCCTGAGTCTTAAGCTTTACTAGCTTCAGGGAAGATCTATCCCAACCCTCAGCTCTGATGCTGGACCTTAGTTCTGTGTCCGCAATTCCAGAAGCTGCCACTCGGTGATGACTGGTGTTGGACCAGGGGTCAGGCTGCCATGGGGCAGGACTAGGTGAGTCTCAAGCTTTAATCATTTGTGTATGCTTAGTCACTCGGTTGTGCCCAACTCTTCGTGACCCCATGGACTGTAGCCCACCAGGCTCCTCTGTCCATGGGATTCTCCAGGCAAGAATACTGGAGGTGGGTTGCCATTTCCTTCTCCGGGGGATCTTCCTCATCCAAGGATCAAATCCACGTCTCTCATATCTCCTGTGCTGGCAGCCGGATACTTTACCACTGAGCCACCTGTTTGGTTGGTTTTATGAAGATCCGCTGGAGAAGGGATAGGCTACCCACTCCAGTATTCTCCGGCTTCCCTTGTGGCTCAGCTGGTAGAGAATCCGTCTGTAATGTGGGAGACCTGGGCTGGAAAGTCCCCTGGAGAAGGGAATGGCTACCCACTCCAGTATTCTGGGCCCTGGAGAATTCCATGGACTGTATAGTCCATGGGGTCACAAAGAGTCGGACACAACTGAGTGACTTTCACTTTGTAACACCTTCTGCTTCACAAAGCTACAAGAATAGGTAAAGTATTTGTGCTCCGAGTCTGAAAAAAAAAAAAATCCCTTTGACTGTTAACAAGAGTTTCATAAAAATTTTTCCTCTGCTCCTTCCAAGTCATTTGCCATAAAATTATGCTCAAAAAAGAAATGGTACCTATTAAACTACTATTGTAGATTACCTGGGGCTGGGTCTGCCTTAGTCATTCTTTCTCAGGCACTGATGTTTTTTCCTCTCTCACGCAAACATTGAACACATTTGAACATAACTGACCCTGTTATGCTCAGCACTCTCCTGTCCTGGAGGGACAGGCTGCATCAGAGGAGCATATGGGAGTGCAGTGGCATCTCTCCACAGCCACAGGAAGCCCCCTGACCTGCCACTCTCCCTGAGATCAAGGTGAGCTTGACAACAGGGCAGCAGAGAGAAAATGCAGCCTGTCTTTACCACGCTGTGCTTCTGTTTTTATCTCTGCTCAGTCGTATCTGACCCTTTGCGACCCCATGGACTGTAGCCCGTCATGCTTCTCTGTCCATGGAATTCTCCAGGCAAGAATACTGGTATGGGCAGCCATTCCCTTCTCCAGGGGATCTTCCTGACCCCGGGATCGAGCCCAGGTCTCCTGCATTGCAGGTGGATTCTTTACCACTGAGCCTCCAGGTCTTCACTCTGTACCAATTCACGATCTTAAGAGAGTCTGATGATATGTTTTTAAATATGATTGAAAAAAAGTTTCTCAGATGACAGAGTAATTGGAAGCCAATTACAGTGTAGCTTTGTACATTTCAATTGTCAACTACCACTCGGACACTGAAGGAAAAGTAATTTGGAAATAAGGAAATATAAGGACTTTCTCATAAAGTCCAAGTTCCTCTAATATGCAAATGCACAACTACTGCAGTTTCCACAGTCAGAAGCAGCATTCACAGATAGAAAAGAATG